TATAAATATTAATAAAATATTAGGGATATAATTGTTATGGCTCAATGGCCTCTTATCACCTTAATTTTTCAGATTTTTTATTTTGTTTTTCTTGTTTTCCAGTTCTCCACCCTTTTCGTGGCTTGTATAAACCTTCCTCACCCTGAAGCAAACCGCCCTTAATTCATTTTTATGATGTACCACAAGGATGGTGGCGGCAGGAAATATATATGGAATTTGAATAGTTTTGTTGGGTGTTTTCACTGTTCTGAACTTGTAATTTCGTGTAAAATATATAGATAATGAAGTAATACCTGTGTTTTGTGTTTAAAGCCAATCAATAGGGTTAAGATCGAGGAACAGAATCATTGTTAACTTTGTTGAGGAACTAATATCTAGCTGGGACATACAAGACATTTGGATTATAGCAATTAATCTTGCAAAATGTGAATAATTGGGAAAAAAAAATTGCTGTCTTGTAGTACTGATAAAAACAGGATCTTGGGTAATTTGATCCTTTTTCAACTTTACTGCATGATGTGATTGATGGTTTGAAAAGGTCTTTATTTATTATCAGTTTTGATTGCGTACTCTATGTAGGCAAACAAGTAACTGGACTCAATCATCTTTACCACTCGTTATTGTTATTATTATTGTTGTCAGTATTATTTTGTTATTATCTTCAGATACATTCAAGAAAACTATTCTAAAATTCGTGATGTGGAGCGTGAGCTTGCAAATCTTTCACTGGAGATGAAACTTACAGCTGGTCCGAAAAAAGCAGGTTTCTACAAATTATTGTTGGCCTTTCTGGAACCAATTTAAAAAGGTTGTTATTCCCTGGTTATTGTAGTGAAATGACTTTGCTTTATTTTTTATACATGATGCATACTTTAAGCACTTGAACATTTGAGAAAGAAAATTGAGACGTCAACAGAAAGAATCCGTGTGGCCAAGCTAAAGGAAGAGCAGGCACGGAAGGTCTGTTACTATACTGATCTCTATTTTTCTCCTGCAATTTTCATAATATCAAATTATTTGTGATATTGATATTATGTACTGCATCATGCCAGTACTAGTATCAGCTTTCTGTACAATTTCTGATGTCAAGTTCACTATTAGTTCAATGAAGTTGCTGGAATAGATGACAAGGATATATATGTTAATAAATAGTTGTGATGATTCTGAATTGTCTATAGTGTACCACTGAATAAGCTTCTAGGGTTAAAAGTTAAATCTATCAGTGCATTAGAGATACATTAGTTTCTTACTCAGTATTAATCACAAAAATTGCAGATAACATTATTTAAGCACTTTATCCAGAAAATGCAAATACATTTGTGGTAACAAAATCTCATTTGATCATCGTAAATGACATAAATTTATAGTAAGTAGTTTCCCACTTTCTGTTTATAGTTCGTTTTACGTAAGTACTTTTTCTTTTGCTCTTAGTTCAGTCTAATGATTAAATTAACAAATTGGTGCACTAAAGTAAATGTTATTTATATGCATATGGAGGAGTGTAGATGATCTGAATACTTTGATCTACAAAATCAATTGGTATGCTAAGTACCTTCTCAAATATAGTTGACATCTTAATTATATGTGCTGTAGGTGTGGGAATCAGCCTCACAAGTAGTACGAGATGAGGAAGCAATGAAACAAAAGCTATGTGAAGACTTGAGTAATCTGGTAATTAGTGTTAAATGAAGACATAATATACCCCTGTTTAGCTGGTTGTTTGACTGTGACAATTTTATACAGGTTCAAGAAAGCAGTAACTCTCAGTTTGCTCGGCTGGAGGAATTAAAAAGAAGATTGGAAGCTTTGAATCCAAGTCGTGCATCAACTAATCTTTATCATGTAAGTATTTTATCACTGTATTCATTATTATTAATTATATAGTGGTGGCCCCTAAGGTATGAACCTAATTTTGGGGTGTACGCTGCACGGTGTCCTTAATTAACAAACTCTTTTCAGAACTCCTAACTATATGTCCTCCTAAACTTATCAACAAGGAGTCCCTTTGCTGGGAAACTGATTATCTGCCATTTGGAATTGAAATTTCTTGAGAATGTGAACATGTGCTGAGAATGGAAACCTGCTTGCTTTTTCTGACTTCTCTACGGAAATGTTTTTTTCACACCATGTTGTTAATGCTACATTTCGTCGGTGTCGAGCACAATACACGGTTTTGCATATGCATCTTCATACTAAAGCATTGAATGTTAAAATCGTGCACATATTAGGATGGGAGATCGGCAGCTTCTTCTCAGGATAGTACACCCCAGCATGGTTCCTCTGTCCCCAATGCAAAGGAGTCAAATGAGGGATCAACCGAGAGCGTTTCCAACCAAAGTAATGGTCAGAAAGCTGCAGCGAGAAATGGACCTAATCAGCAGCCACATAATGAAGGCGAAGGAAGAAGTAAGAAGAAAGTCAACTTGCCATCAAAAGGGAAGGGAATTGGTGTTGTGACCAAGGGTAGATCTTCAACTCCTGGCTGGACTGGGGCTGGCTTCGATGTAGATGGCAGAACCTGAGAGCACTATATACTATCGTAAGATATTACTGAACTAAATATTTTTTTGGGTGAGATGTCCATGGTAGGTACATATCCTTCCGTCCTCTGTTCTTGTTGCCCATTAACTTGGAAGTGTAATCTTCTTTCTCCCATTATATTATTTCCGTGACAGTTGTTGGTTTAGCCATGATCCTATATAAATCTCACGTGATCTTTTTGATTAGAAAGGAAGTATATTGTGTGGTATTTATGATTGAGTGCACAACCTGAACGCCTAGTAGTTATAATTATTTTTTGTTTTGTTTCTCAAAATAATTGGGTGTTCTTGTCTGATACACTTCATATATGTGTATGGGATTTATATAGTGAAAAGATTAAAATCAAAGACACGCAACCATACTTGAGCGAGCTTATAGTTAATATTTATTCTTGTTACTCACAATATAAAAATTAAAAAAGTCTTTAATTTGATAAACAAGAGCCAAGCCACCATCGTTCGGACTGTCGCCAGCACAAAGGCAGCAATCATCACCAGCGGCATCGTGTTTGGGGTTTCTCTCTCCATCCTCTTCTTCTCTAACACGCCCAAGGGAGGAACAGTGCCTTCATTCTTCCTCCTCAAACATGATCAATGGAAGAATGGGAAGAAGATGGAAAGTGAGGTTGTTTTTGTATGGTGGGAATTGAAAGTGGGGATTGATTTTAGATGGAGATCATGGAGTGTCCAGGAGCCCGAGTGAAGTTCCAAATTGAAAGAGAGAAACGGTGGGACAAGTGTCATCTTCAGGAGGGTGTTTAGGTGGTGTCAAAAGAAAAATAGGGCAGTATGGATGTAGAAAATAACTTTTGACCCAATAGCCCATTTTAGAAAGGAATGTAAACAAAAAACACTTGTAGCTGTCAGACTGATTTTTTTTATTTTGTTTCTTATTATTATTTTTCAAATTTTATTTCTTTTTTCTCAAATAAATTAAACACCAGTTTTTAATTGATTTTAGAAATAAAATGTATTTATCCGGATAAAATTTGAATGTTATGAATATAAATTTCAATTCAAAGACAACTATAAATATAATTAAAATCCATATATAGCATAATTACTTGTTATCTCAACCCACGAGCTTTGAATTACGTTTTAATCATAATACTTGTTAGCGCCACTTAACAATATACTTAACAGTTTCACCATTTGTATAAAAGTGTTGAGACACCTTATATATATTCTTTTGTTGATGAAAAAGTTAATAATACATGGTAGCTACCAATTTAATGTGTAAAGTTAAAAGTAATTATAATAATATATATATCTACAAACAATCCACAAAGTTCCAATTGAGTCCACCGTAAAAGCAATTGCTACCAACATTACTACGATTTCCTTTTTCAACACTACTAGTTTTACATTAAGAAAATCAAGTTTAAGTGGACTTTGATTAACCTTAATAACCCTTCTAACATCAATGATTCGGACCAAAAAAACCTCTCATTTATTCCTTCAACACTCTCCATACTTACAGATTTATCATTTATAATAATTATGCAAAATTTACTAGAAAAAATATATTTATTTAATTAGCTATATTTAAATCTTATATACTTTTTTGGGTGATATTGACATTGGTGCAAGTAGGACAACAAAACTTGAACTCGTCCAAAGAATAAAATAATTAACATACTTTGTATGAAAATATATAAATATATAGAATCACAACATACTAATAATGACTCATGTTACCTAACTTACGTTTAACAACAAAGAAGAAACTCATGTAAAGATAATTTAGTGAGAATCTATCGTGTCCAACATGAATATTCTCTTTAATATTATAATTATTATATCACAAGTAAATCTAATCTATTAAATAATAGATATTATTTTTAATATGGCTGATTGTTTTGCTTTAAAACAAATAACATAAAGCAAAGCGCAAGAGATTTTAAAATAAAATTATCAGTCAAGTCATGTTGCAAAGACTTAAGTTTTTTTTTCAGCATATCATGATAATGATATATTTTACACATTAAAGTTCATTTCCATTCTCAATATTATTTTTAAATTGGTTGAAAGGTGTTTTTGTGGATCATATACTACCTAATATCATAATTTCATTTTCACTCTAACTTTCTTGTATTTTTTAAAATTTTTATTTTTTATAAATTTAAATATTTTCAATTGAATTTTTATTAATAATTTTCTAATATAGTTTCAATAAAAAAATATTTAGTATTTTATACATCAAAACATTATTTATATTAATTATAAAATTTTACATTAGTAAACAATAATACACAAAACATGATAAAAATTTAATTTAAAAAAAATATAATTAGTGAATACTTAATAAAAATAAATAAATAATAACTTGTTTAAAAATATTTAAATTTATAAAATACTTACAATTTAACTAATCGTATTAAGAATAATAAAGAAGTTTCAGGAAATCAATACCCGATGATTTACATAATTTGATAACGTCAATCTGCTTCCTCGTACTGGAACTAAAGCAAAATTCATTGACCATTTGAAATTTTACATTAGCAACCTAGGAGATACAGAGAGAGAGGGAATAAAAAAAGGGAAACCTCTGCAAGAAAATCATGAGTTTTACAGAACAAGGTGTGAGGCCATCCTCGTTTTCATGGTTTCACAATGGGACCCACCGCCACGGCTTCCACGGATGAGGGATCCATGCCGTAGTCACAGCCAAGGGCATCGCATCTCTTCTGATTCATCACGTGAATCCTTTCCCATGTGAGCCCCACACTTACCCTTCCAAACGACGCCGTCACTTACGTATCCACGCCACCAACCATAACGGTTAACGTTTCATGCACCAACCACTCCACTATGTTCCCCTCTATCTCCTTCACCAACCCTTTTTCTTCCTCTTCTTCCCTCATCTCCTCCATCTCTACCAACCCATCAATGTCCTCCAAAACCTCGCACTTCGCACGTGGTAAACTCCGAACCCTCTCCCACACCGTCTCCAACAGCCTCCCTCTGAAACGCTTCGGCCTAACTAGAATCTCCGACAGCAACTCGTCCACCAAATCGAACAGCAATCTACGGTTGCAGCGCGGATCCAGCCCGTGTTTCCGCTCAAATACGCAATCTTTGTTGTCTTCTGGGAAAGAGACAAAGGAATGGGATGTTGGGTAGCGCTCCAGACTGTGAAAGAGTGAAGGGTCCAAGGGGTGGGTGGGAGAGAACCACTGAAAATGGAGGTGGGGTATATGTGTGGTGGCGTTGCTGTGGGACCCAGTGGCACGGGACAAGATGATCGTGACGTAGTGAAACTCTGGTCCTTCGTGGAGTGCGGCGGAGGAGATGGTGGTGAAGGCGCCGTGAGATTTGTCGTGATCGCAGGTTGTTGGTCCTCGGGGTGCGGGTGGTCGTGGCGCTTTTTCTCTGTACGTCTGGCGCGAACAACTAAATAACTGTGTGTTGCGTTTTGCATCTCGACATTCATCAGCATAACTCACCCGTGTCTGTGTTTTTGACCGTATGACACGCAAGAGTTAAACGGAATGCACAGAAAACAGGGGCCAAATAAGATCAATACACTAAATTTGAAACATTTTTTTTAATGTTTTATGTACACAAAATATATATTTTTTATGGAAATGAAATTATTACTAAAATTACTAGTTGGATAAATAAATAAATTATATATTTCCATTTTGTAATAAATAATTTAGGTTTGTTAGATAAATGTAAAACTTTGTTAAAAGAAACCAATAATTTAAACGGCATCAAAATTTTTAGAAATTAATAATTTCCTTAATATTAATATATATATATATATATATATATATATATATATATATATGTATGTATGTATGTATGTATATGTATGTATATATTAAGTTAAAAAAAAAGTTTGACATTATTGGAGTATCTGTTTTCTATTGGAGGAATAGTATGCAAATGCAATTTGAGAGAAAAAATATGGAAAGAAAAAAAAGAAGGAAAAAGTGAACTAAAGTGTGTATTTTATAAGAATATGTATATAGAGATGGAGTTTATGAGAAGTCGAGGATATAGTAAAGAAATAATATTATAAATGTAAGCTGCGTAATTGTATGTTGATGATTAAATTAAAAGTAATGATCATTTTAAAAAGTTAATTGTAAGTATTTAAATATTATTCAAGTTATATTATTAAATTTATGACTTGTGAAGTTGTTAATTAAATATAATATTCATGTAATGAAACTCAATAATAATGTATTGTTTCTTTTTTAACGAGAACAATGTATCGGTGTTTGAAATGAGAATAGATAATAGAGAAAGAAAAACTTGTAATTTATGAAATTCATTTAACGGGTACCTGTTTTTGAGGAGAAAGACCTATCTTGACAGGGAGAAGATTTGGAACCGTGTTGTGACTATTAAAAAGATCGCTTGAAAGTGGAAGAGTTCTCTTCTTTTTGGTTTTGATGTCATTGACTTTAGTGACTAATGGATAACGAATAATAAATGGCTCTTCTTGCTGGTTTCTAATTGATGTTTGTGGAGGCATATTGACTCTCGTACTCGACTTTCCAAAGGTTGTTTTCTTGTATTTTGTGACTGCTTTTTGGTTCTGCAACTCTTTCTTGGCCAATGCCTGAGGCTTTGGCTTTGTAGAAACTTCTGAAAGCTCAGTTTCAATGTTGATCGCACGTGGAGGTGATTGTGGTTTTAGCACCGAGTGTGTGCTTTGATTTTTTGGAGTTGTTGGCGATGGTTTTGTGCTTGATTTTTGTTTGGATTCAATAAATCTGCTGAGCCTTGGGGAATAAGATGAGTTTGAAAGTTTTCCAGGGCAAGATTCATTCACTGAAGTTTTTGAAGTTTTCTTGAATTTGATTTTGCTTACACATTCCTCTTCTTCATGGTCTCTGTTTTTGATAGTGTTGGTGATGTCGCGTCCAACCTTTCTGCTCACACTTTCTCTAACCTGTTTGACAATTTGCTTGGCATAGTGACTTGGACTCCGGCTATTGTTCTCATCATATTTTCTCTTTGTAAAAGAAAACAGAGGAACCTCAAAATCCTCATACGGAACTGTGTTCTCCTTGTTGATTTGGAGTGAGAGTCTATGCTCAACATCCGATTTTCTTGCAGAGGACATTTTAGGAACCCCAGGCAAGAAGTCACTTCCCGTGCTGTTTCTATGTTTGATTAGTTTGATATGTTGTCGTGATCTATAAAGGTTTGGAGTGGAAAGGCACGGGGAAGAAGGGGAATGTGCATCAGGAAGAAGATCCAGACCCATTAACCTTGCAACCAAAGTCGGTGTCTTGGTCCCTGGAGAGACACTGATTTCTGACGAAAGATCACTAATTTCTGTTTTTGATCTTGAGCTCCCTCCTGTTCTGATCTGAATGTTCTTCTGGTTTTCAAAAATCAATAGTTAAATGATTAAACCATGATTATTACCATCCGCACTCAACTTTAGAGTACAAGAAAACCCAATAAAAACATATGTGAAAGTGAAACACAGAAAAAATGGTGAAAAGTTGGAGGTGATGTGAAACTTGTGAAAAGGTGCATGCTAATTAACTTACTGGTATTTTAAAATTTGCTTCTTTTGAGATTGATGACACTGTAGTACCATCTTCTGACTCCAAGCTATGCCTTGGTCCTTCAGCTCCTGAAATATACAAAACCATGAATTATCCATAGTTGGCCAGAATAAGTTGATTTAGGAGTATAAAGAAGTTACTTTAGAGTTGTAGTAAAGTGGTCATTTAAGAGCATAAGGGCGTTTGAGAGTTGGAGAAAAGTAAGTAGTGGAACGCTTAAAGTGAAGTGTAGTAGAGAGAAAGTACCTTTAGAGAGAGTGTGGTCTTCTCGGGTGCGAGACTTGAAAGAGGATGGCTGGTGGTTAATGGAAAAGTGAAATGGATGAAAATCGAAAGCCTGAAAGACTGCACACATGCAACCAGAAGGGATTTCTGTTTGAGCTTCTCCACCCCTCTTGGAGGACCTTCCACCCCAATGCCACTCCTTGCCCATAATTGGTAAACTTACGGCTTTGCTCAACTCTCAAAGTAAGAAAGATGATTTGTGTCAAAGTGACTATATAAAAGGAACCAGCCAGCGGTGTATTAGTTTGTTTAAGGTGTTGGCAAAATATTCTAAAATGGCTTATGGTATATATGTATATATATATATATATATATATATATATATATATATAGGCAGGTGAAGAAGCGAGAAAAACGGATCCGTTTTGAAACATAAAACGGTCACATCTGATGAAAGGAATTAAAGTACAAAGTTGAACATGTGTATTTTGGCAAATCCATTTCTCTAAAGCTTAGGTCCAAACATGCAGTTAGGGTGAAGAATGACCATCGCTATTGTGGTAGACAAGTCAAAAGCGATATCTGGTTTAGTGCACACTTTCATGCTGTCGTAATCTTGAGGGGAGAGAGATTTTTTATGTATAGCACCAGTTCAGTGCTTCGTCTTTGATCTCTATATGTTCACCAAGCCCACGTTTCTACCTTGGATTTCGTTCTGTCAAAAACATGGCTTTTTCTCCTGACAGTATAGCTGCATTTTTTTCACCTTTCAATAATATAATTTTCATAAAATATCTTTTTAACACCACAGTCCATGTTCAGGACTATTTTACTTAGGGTTAAATATATTTTTAGTCCCTACCCTGTTTCAAAGTAAGGTACAATTTGGTCCTCATTCTTTTCAAAACATTCGTTTTAGTCCTTGGAATTTTGGTTTTAGTCCTCATTTGTTGCTAAATGAGGACCAAATTTTTAAACAATGTTTAGTTTTCGAGGACTAAAACGAACGTTTCGAAAAGAATGAGGACCAAATTGTACCTTACTTTGAAAGAGGGACGAAAACCAGAAACGGCCAATAGTTTAGGGACTAAAAACATATTTAACCCTTTTACTTATTTAAAAAATTAACTTTTTTGTATTTGTAAGAAAAAAAATAGTAAATATAAAAATTAATTTTTATATTTGTAAAAAGAAATCAAAAAATAAAAATAATTAATGTAAAAAAAAATTTGTTTAATGTGAAAATAATACTAAACATAATTTTCAATAGAGTATTTCACCATTCATCTCTTTTCTTTCTTGTGTATCTTCAAAATTACAAATATAACTTTCAATATTTTATTAATTTTTTTTCTTCTTTTCTCACTCATTACATCCATTTTATTTTTTAATTAGTTTTCAAAAATCAGTTAAAAATTCAAAGATTTAATACATTTTTCTTTTAATTGATTTTTGAAAGCCTGTGAGTTCTTAACCAATTTCAAAAACCGATTAAGAAAAAAAAACGTATTTTGAAATATATGTAATAAAAGAAATAGTTAAAAATCAATTTCAACTGCGCTATCAACCAAGTAAAAGTTTAAATTTAATACACGTTAATGGCACTGAAAACTAAATTCTAGTTGAAGAATAAATACCAAAAGTACCTAAAAGACTATTTATTTATTTATAATCCGAAAGCATTAATTTAAATTATTTCAGTTGTGCATGCTATATATCAAAGTACTTTTTTAAATAAAGTACAAATTTCGTTTTGGAGTATTCAAATTTAAAGTAGAAACTGATAGTACAATTTTAAATGCCTTGGGAGAAAACTGAAATCTCAATTTATACATACATTTAAAAGAAAATCATCGTACACAAAAAATTGACGATTTCAAGAATAATAACGAAAGAAATTTTCAAAGCTCAAACAATTCAGTGCCATGACATCAGTATGTATAGTGTGATATGATAATTGGTATATCGTTTGAAATATTTGAAATAAGGAGACAAAAAAACTGTAACTCCCGCTTTTGTTCTAAACCGTAATTTGAGAATTCCGGAGTAAAAAGCAAAGACAGTACCTCTATTATCTCATTGTTCTTGTACAGCATCCAAACAATTTGTTTGCTGCCAAGGCTTAAGCAAAAAATTCACACCAACCCATATTTGTCCCATTCTGTCCCAACTTTGGAAATATCAGTTTCGAAATATGCAAATATTTGCCTTATTAAACTTATTATGATAATAATTAAATTATAGGAATAAAATCAATTTATACAGTTTGTGTGTCATTATTTGTTTTAATCACAATAACATCATCGTAATTCGAACATGTGTATGAGTGGATCCAAAATTTAGTTCATAAATACTATAAAATTACATAAAGAAAAAATGGCGGGAGGGTAGGTTTTTGTTCTATTCCCAATGGGGTAGGAGGGAGCATCGAAATTTTATCCCCACACCGATAAGTATATTATGTTCATGGTGGGATCGAGTATTGCCATGCTTTTGAACGAACAGCATTATCACACAAGTTTGGAACATAATCATTCTGAAGCACATTGCATCTTTTCTATTGACGATTTTCAGAAAATAAAAAGAATTTTTGTTTTGTTGTGTAGATGTCCTAAAAAGAAAAGTGGTGAAAAAGAAAAAGGAAGACGAGTGATCCAACGTTAAAACCATGCATAGATTCATTCTATTATATGCCATATTTACATATAGAAGGTAAAGCAGGTGCATTACCGAATGGAAAATTAGATATAGTGTTTGTCACGAAGCCGAAATTGAAGGTGGTAAGTTTTTTATGGGTAAGCAGAATAGTGTGGCATTATAATTTGACGATGGGAGAGTGAGTGTACAGTGAAAAAGAATGAAGAGAGGGGAATCGTGCAGAAATAGGTCTGCAGTTGTAGGAAGTACGAAGTAAGTGGTGGGACAAGAACAAGACAAGGGCTTGAATTTTAATATGATGAAATTTTTGGTTGAGAAGAAATTAACTCAAAATTTCTACTCTGCTTTCATGCTATTAAGATGGTCTGCATCTGTATTGGGACTCAGTGTCAGCCTGGACCTGCACCTGCAACCATCATACTCTAATTGCAACAACACAGTCCTGCTACAATCACTTATTTCATGATGCTACCGCTATTTCTGGTAACACTCGCTCTGTAACTTATTTCACGTATCATATTACGTTATCATTACCTTCTATTTCTTCTCACTCATCCATTCATTCAACGCACCCTTCTCTCCTTTTCCTTCGCATTTCATGTTTTTAGTTTTTACTCTTTCAAACTTTACCGGTGTAATAACTCTCTTCTTTCCATAATCTATAAAAACAGTTACAATAATTGAATGTACTACTGTGCTACGACCTCTCTGTCTAAATTTTTCAAAACTTATCCCTCTCCTCATAATATCAACATTTTCATCTTTCACTTAGTTTTTTTTTTACATCAAATGTTTTATATAATAACAACGATAAATTAAGTTAATTTTTACATTACTGACAGTGAGAGGGAGCGAGGAGTCACGTGCTTCTGTGGCCGTGATATATGTGCACAATAATTAAGGAAAGACTATTATAAAGATTGGTAATTAATTTATCACTGTTATTTGAATTTGTGTGATCCCCAAACAATATGGGGTCTAATTAAGTCTTGAACAATAATGATTGTTGGAGAATGTAATGTAAGTTTTATTAATGATATACATTATCTGAAACTTTGTATAGTTTGGCAACGGCAAAAAAGTGGTGAAGTCCTGAAGAAGTTTGTAGGTAACGAAATGAACATTTCGTACAAATTTATAGGTTGCACCACTTAACTGAAACAGAATAAAATCAGATTTAGCATGTGTGGTGTTGCAATTTGTGTTTTCGATAAACTAGGAAAGATTCCCTTTACTTTCCTTTCACCGCACACCATAAACCCTTTAGTTTTTTTAATTTGTTTCTTGTCTGGGCCAGTGTGATAAAATCTTTAGCACTGATAATTGGAATGCGTTTGCCCTAAACAATAAACAAAAAGTGTGGGCATTGCACTTTGTTTCTGTTTTGGTGTTAAATGAGTGTCAGCTTTCCCTATCTGAGTCTTTTCACCCAATCAATGACTTAATTGTTGAATTGGTGTTGATGATGTGAGGAAAGTGGAGTTGATGATGAATGTGAATAATTGATAATGCATGGTGCATAAATGCAGGAGTACAAGTACTACTGTAATGTGAGGGCATGAAAGAGTGAGTAACTTATTAGATTAAAAAGCGTTGAAGGATAGGCACAAAGAAACAGATCTATAAGCGAAGCATGTGTTGGCTCTCTCAACAGGTGAACATTAAATTGGACAGAGTTCTCAGTCTACTCACCTGTTCCCACCATTTTCGATCAGACATATATGGTTAATACCACATGCACATATTAATTAACTATTTAATGAATTCTTGTTTGAATTTCCCGCTTATTTTCTTAATATACTTTTACTTTCACCTCCCACACAATCTCTTTTTGAATTTCAACCATCTTTTTACTATAACTTTTATACATACGTTATTCTTACGAGAAAAGAAAACAGAGACAATACAAACAGTTATAAGTATTACAGAAATGGTAAGTTTCTATGTAATTACTCCAATTATTTTATCTATCTAATTTACTTATTTGCTTTTGTTTTTGTATTCTACCTACTTGGTTTCTTTGATACTGTCATATTTCTTTTACATTCAAATTATAATTTTACTACAATACTTTATATATAATTATTATTATTTAAATATAATATTTTATTATTAAATGTAATTTTCAAATGAATGTAATTAAAAAAAATAATGTCAGAAGAGTATTTCTCTTGCTTTAATGTTATCTTTCTTTTCTTTCCTTTGTATCAAACAAACTTATCTCCATTTTCTCAAATTTTGGTTTGAAGAAAAGGATCGTTTGCTTTTGGACGGAAGCTCTTTAACTTTTAAAAGAAAACGAGAAAAAAGTTTATTGTGTTGGTTTCCTTTTCAACCTTTAACATTTTGTTTTCAACAAGGAAAATGGAAAAAAAAAATGCTTGCATCGAAGTTGGCAAACGTTTTCATGCAAAAAGTTCCTTTTATTTATTTTTGAAAATAATAGTTATTGCATGCTAGCCTACAATCTCAAAGTTCCACGAAGTAAGAACCAAACAGAATATGATTCTCTGAGCATATTCCACCTTTTAAGCCTTCTTCTTGTTCAAAAGGTGAAGCATCCTTTTTATAATCTTACCTTTTCTTCTTTGTGGTACGATAACAGTGTCTGTGCACTAACCTATTATTCCATCCAC